ACAGTTGCAGGCACACCATCTTCTATTTAATTGCTCCATTGGCTTTCATTCCAGTGGCAGCTTAAGGGAGGTATGACAGAGTACCCCTCAATCAGACAAAAGCCTCTGTAAAGATTTTAAGGTTATGCTTCTTGGATCCTCTCGTTCAAATAATACGGCTTCGAAGAAGTTTAAGGCTTTTGTCCTTCTGCAGAAGCCCAAGGTACAAAAAGATTTAGCTCAAAGATATTTATGGATAGGGCTCTTACCTAACGGACCGAAACCCAGAAAGATTCACAGGAGATTTGTAATTTTTTAGACTATTGTATTGTCAGAAACCCTGCCAGCTTGGGCTGAAAGAGTCCAAGTACAAAAAGGAAAGAGGCCTTTGGGACCCCAAGTTCTGTAAGCAGGAAGCAGGCTGAGAAAACTACTGAGATGTGAACACATGCTACCTTTAATAGAAAAAAGACTTACGGGGTAAAACCAGGAGCCTAGAGGGTGGAACCAAAATCCATGAAAAATTATTCCCAGGCCTTGAATGTGGAACTATAAACCTGTACCCAGTGACCTGCTGTGGACCAGGGACTTCTGTGAACCTCCTGTTTTCTGACTATTGGAACAGGAGTGTCTGTAGTAGTTACCCTAACTTTTACATTGGTTGTTGTAGGAAGGAAGCATATAGCTTTTTTCTGTAGGACTTCAAATTGAGAGGTACTGTACTCAAGTGGCTGAATATAAGGAAATATATCCAAAAAGCTTTGTCTGCCCCAAGACCTATTTAGAGGACAAGACTCTGAATTTTGAGTGAATGCTATAACGAGTTAAGACTCTGGGGTCTTGGGAGGGGTGAGTGCATTTTGCGTATGGGAGGACTATAAATAATTTGTGACTAGAGGATGGACTGTGGCAGTTTTAAAATATGTCCACAAATTCTTTGGTGTATTAGTTTCTTCTTGTTACTGTAACAAATTACCACAAGCTTAGTGGCTTAAACAACAATTTATGATCTTACATTTCTAGAGATCTGAAGTGCAAAATTGGTCTTACAGGGCTAAAATCAAAGGCTGCATTCCTGAAGGCTCTAGAGGAAAATCTGTTCCTTACCTTTTTCAGCTTCTAGAAGCTATATGCATTTCTTGACTCATGGCCACCTCATCTGACCTGTTCCCATCATTACATATCCTACTCTCATTCTGACACTCTACCTTCCTTTTATAAAAACCTTTATGATATTAAGGCTACCCAGATAATCCATGAAATTTCCCTATTTCTGTCCTTAATCACACCAACAAAATCCTTTATTCCATGCAAGGTAACATATTCACTGGTTCTAGGGATTAGAACGTGGATATCTTTGGGACGGGGTAGGCAGGGGTAACAATTCTATCTACTTCAATGCTTGTATCTTCAAAAGATGGCATCGAGTCTACTCTTCTTGAATGTGGGCTGGATGTAGAAGACTACTTACAATGACTAGAGTATGGCAGAAGTGATAATATGACGCAAAACTAAGTCATAGGGGCGCCTGGGTGGCTCAGTCGGTTGGGTGTCCACCTCTTGATTTCAGCTCAAGCCATGATCTCAGGGTCCCGAGACCAAGCCCTGCATCTGGCTCCATGCTCAGTGGGGAGTCTGCTTGAGATGCTCTCTCCCTCTCTGTCTGTCCCTCCCCCGTTCATGCTTGCTTGCACTCTCTCTCTCTCTCTCAAATAAATCTTTAAAAACAAAAAACTAAGTTATAGGGGTGCAGTAGGTTAAAGGACTGACTCTTGGTTTTGGCTCAGGTCATGATCTCAGGGTCATGAGATCATGCCCCATGTCAGGCTCTGTGCTCCACACAAAGTCTGCTTAAGACTCTCTTTCCCTCTCCCCCTCCCCCACTCTCTCTCTCTCAAGTAAATAAATAAATCTTAAAAAAAAAAAAAAACCTAAGTCATAAAAGACATTGCAGCTTCCTCCTTGCTCTCTCTTGGATTACTCACTTAGGGAGAAGCTAGCTGACATGCCACAGAAACTGCAAGATAGTGTTTGCTGTTTTAAGCTAATAAATAGTGGGGTAATTTGTTATGTAGCAATAGATAACTACTATAATCCCTTAGGTCACATCCTGATCCATGATGTCTGCTTAAATTCTAGCTATTATCTCTACATTCCAGCCTTCCTGAAGAAGGAAGGGGAGAAGAAAGGCATGCTCCCTCCCTTAAGTAGCATTTACTGGAAGTTGTATGCACCTCTTTCATTTACATCTCACTTCTTTGAGATGGACATGGCACACCTAGCTGCAAGGGAGGCTAGGAAACAGGATTTATTCTGGACAGCCATGTGTCCAACTGAAAATTAGGAGTTCTAATATTATGTGAGAAAGGGAAAACAGGGGGGCACAATTAGCAACCTCTGTCACAATTAGCGACTCTTATAATGGATGATTATGAGTCGGGAAAAGCAAAGTCTAGCATACGTCCATCAACATTGTTCCTTTTTCTTAACAAAGTATTTTCATTGGCCACCAAATGCTATTTACACACCCAGCACTCTGCTCTCTCCAAAGAATCATGCCAATTGTGTATGAGTCATAGGAAAACCCAACTAATATATAACATAAACCACAATGAATGGTGAAATTTTTTAAAAAGATTTATTTATTTATTTGAGAGAGAGAATGAGATAGAGAGCATGAGAGGGGGGAGGGTCAGAGGGAGAAGCAGACTCCCTGCTGAGCAGGGAGCCCGATACGGGACTCGATCCTGGGACTCCAGAATCATGAACTGAGCCGAAGGCAGTCGCTTAACCAACTGAGCCACCCAGGCGCCCGAAATTTTTTTTTCTTACAAAGTTCTTTTCAGGGACAACAATAAAGAATAATTTCCTGGGGAGATTTTGCTTAAAGGCTCTTAAATATCCTAAATGTTGATTTCTAGATTTATATTCTATAAGCATGCTTTGATGCACTGTCAGAAAATACACAGCTGATGGAAATTGTTTCCTCTGTGTAAGAGACTGGAGAGAACTCGCTATGACAGCAGTTGCAGGGAACACAATCATGTTCCTGACAATTTTCTTTTCACATACTAATCATTCTTGGGTAGCCACATTAAGTGGACTTTTAAATTTTTATTTAACAATATAGTTAACCCCCAAAGGATCACAGGGAAAGAGGGGAAAAAATAAAACAAGGCGAAACCAGAGAGGGAGACAAACCATAAGACACTCTTAATCATAGGAAACAAACTGAGGGTTGCTGGAGGGGAGGGGGTTGGGGGATAGGGTAACTGGGTGATGGACATTAAGGAGGGCATGTGATTTAATAAGCACTGGATATTATATAAGTGGATGAACCACAGACCTGTACCTCTGAAACCAGTAATACATTATATGTTAATTAACTGAATTCATATTAAAAAACAGGATAAAATAAGACTTTTTTTTTTAAAGATTTTATTTATTTATTTGAGAGAGAATGAGAGACAGAGAGCACGAGAGGGAAGAGGGTCAGAGGGAGAAGCAGACTCCCCGCCGAGCAGGGAGCCCGATGCGGGACTCGATCCCGGGACTCCAGGATCATGACCTGAGCCGAAGGCAGTCGCTTAACCGACTGAGCCACCCAGGCGCCCCTAAAATAAGACTTTTAAGTAGAAAAAAAACCCAATATAGTTAACCCCTATCACAAGCATTTAAAACTACCTCCTTGTATGCTTTAGTCAAACTACAAAAAGTTAGAAATATGTATTTCCAGAAATATATTACAAAACCAAATAGAAATTATTTTTCAACAAGTATTAAATGGCTTCCTTGCAAAGCATATGCTATCGTTTCCTTACATCACTGTGAAAAATGAGTGCACTGTGGCTCCTACTATAAAGTTCAGACTACAGAGGCCAAGAGTTGGGCGATTACTAATGTGATTTGACATATAGCTTTTCATTTCATTTTCACATAGAGTCCTCCATTTTCATCCAGACATTTAGTCATCAGTTGCCATGACATAAATAAAACATAGTGACTCTTACAAAATTTCACCATAAAAGGACTCAGTCTATGTTCACGTAATCTTTTTATGATGTCATGCACTATAATGTGTTTTTAAAAATGTACATTATGTAAGGAATGCAAGACTCAAAGGCAAAGATTGAGTGTCCTATAAAGTAACTTCAATCCCACACTATTGAGGCTCAGTACATTTTAAATAGCAAAGTGAAGTTACAAATTCTAAAGTCTTAGGCTATAGAATGATAGTGCAAATAATGAAGATATTGATCCCATCCCCTGTGAATAAAAGTTCTTCTTAGATGCCTGCCAGGGATCCTGTTAGTTGTTGTTTTTGCCTGTGATTTTGATCTATTACTTCTTTTAGTTTTTCATGGGAATTGGTGGCTGACACGGAACCTAAGAAGCCTTTGATCACTTAACTTGGAAAATGGATCAAAAGTAGATTTTCATTTTATGTGGGTAGATATTTGGTTTTCTTAATCTACCAGCCAAGCTCTGTTCATAATTTTTAGTAACTGAGCTCACTTACTGCAAACTTATTAAGCCAGAAGGATAGGTATGTGACTCTTTATGTCAGTGGTTCTTTTTTTTTTTTTAAAGATTTTATTTATTTATTTGACAGAGAGAGACACAGCTAGAGAGGGAACACAAGCACGGAGAGTGGGAGAGGAAGAAGCAGGCTTCCTACGGAGCGGGGAGCCCGAGGTGGGGCTTGATCCCAGGACCCTGGGATCATGACCTGAGCCGAAGGCAGACGCTTAACGACTGAGCCACCCAGGCGCCCCAATGTCAGTGGTTCTTAGACTGGAGTATGCCACAGAATCACCAGGAAGGCTTACTGAAAGAGAATGCTGGGCTCCACTCTCAGGTTTTCTGAGTTAGTAGTTCTGGGGTGTGGCCTTTGCATTTTCATTACCAACAATGTTAGTAAACTAAAAATTCCCATATGATACAGAGGCCACTCGTCCTGGGACCACACTCTGAGACTTAATTCCTTAAATAAAAGTTGGGCACTTAAATGATCCCGTAAATAATTTGCCATTAAGCCTTTATTGTACCGATTTATGCCTCCTGCAAACAAAACCGAGGCTAAATTGACAGTCTGTTCTATTGAGGTTGCACAAGTTCTAAAAAATCCCCAAATAAAAAAGCAAAACAACTCTAACTTAGAGCGTAATAACCTACTGACTTTGAAAATGTTATTAAAGTCTAAAGAAAAACTCTGGGTTCTGGACCGAACTTCAGTTCCCATAGCAGTCATCATTCGGTTACATTTGGAAACATGCTTGTTCTAAAATAATCATTTTTGAGGCAATGACACTTACTCTTTTCACCCAAAGAAAACAGAAAGTACAACACAGGAAGAACTGGGCAGCCTTAGGTCAATTCATTTTGGAAAGTACATTTAATTCACTGTTGCACAACTCAAACAGAGGGGGTGGTTGGGAAGTCAGGAAGGCACTTAAGTCATTTCAACCAGGAATACTTAACAAAGCGAAGAATCTTGAAATCATGGATGGTCTAAGAATATCTGAGAGGTAAAGAACTGACTCCTTATGTGACAATTTGTCAGGAATGTTCAAAGCTTCCCGTTACTGTCCACCGACCCTGAGACTGAACATAAATTATCTCCAGATGAGCTGAGCATGAATAACCTTTTGGGGCTTTGCCAATGCCAAAATACTATTTAGACGTTCACCCTACATGAGGCCAGAACTGACTGCACTTTGTTATCTCGTGAACAGGTCCCCCCACATACAGACAAAGGCTTAGAAGCCTTGTTCCAGAAGCTCAGACAAGAGTCCTACCAGTTTTTCTTTTATCTTTTAAATATGTGTTCTTCCTCCTTTGATACAATTTCTTCATATAAACCATCTTATCTAAAGAAAATGTCCAACTACTACCCTAATGGACTCTTGTCTCAGTAGGCAAAAGGTATAGTTAGGTTTGAAACTTCTTGGATTCAACCCTCAACTGTACTACCATCCCCTTCAGTAAACAGTAATCCATGGATGAGACAAGGCTCAGTCATTTGCCCCATTCCTAATTCCAAAAGCTTATTCTCAGTGTTAACCCATGGATACAGAATACATATTTCAGCTACTTCTTATAGATGCCTTTTCCTTATATGTGGCTGCAAATGTGTGCAAAGTGAAATAAGAAATAATAAACTAAATGGAGCTTGAGTGCTACATCAGGAGATGTAACTGCTAACAAATGTCAGGGAAGGGGCTCTGAGAGAGGATAAAATGAGGCTCTTTTGTTGAGAAAGGTGATGTGGAATGACATCTGCTCTTGCCAAAGCCAGGTCTCTCAGATCTCCCAACTAAAACAACAAACAGTAACATCTCACAGAATCTTGACTCCATGCTTGATGCCACAGGAAGTCCCAGCATCTTAGAATATCAACACCAAAAGAGACCTTCTAGAGTGACTGGTCCAGACCTATCATTTTCCAGACTAGAAAATTGGGCCCCAAGGAGAAGAAAGAGACTCGCCTTAATTAAGGTTAAAGATTCCTTAGCTGCAACACTGAGGCCAGGACTTAGATTTTCTGATCATCAGACCACTGTCTACAGGTCCTTCCCTTTTTCTTGATGGAATGGGGGTAAGGATGGTTGTTAATGTTAGACTAAGGTAAACACCAATGGAGCAAACAGCTATGGCTAGGAAAAAAGAACTGCCTGTATCCCACCTCCTCAGAAAAGGTCCAGCATGCCCATGGGTCCATCCCCACAGCCTTCCAGGATGAGAGAGCCCTTACAGACCCAGCAACAGAGCAGCAACTTCCTATGAATGACACCAAGTGGGAGGGTCTATATCCAGTCCAAGTCTGTGTGGTTTTTTTTTTTTAACACTCTTCTTCCTCACCACCAAATAAAGTTACAAATATAATGCAAGTGTGATTATATACATACTCCTTTAGATTAAGCAAGCCTCATCACGGTTTCAGGTGACCCAATGAGAAAAATAAAATAAAATTGCACTTCTGGCCTCTCGGATTAAAGACTGAGTTAAAATGAGGTTGCCCAGCCCACAGGAGAATAGGCCACACATGCTGACACAACTGACCCAGCATGCCAAATGTGGCACTTATGCCCAGCGGACTCGGAGAGGCACGGGAACGATTCCTTCACCCAAGGACAGCCAAGAGGTAGATAAATGAAATCAGCCGCATGGATGGATGGATGTAGCACACAGAAGCACCAGGTTGGGTGTGTGGAGGTGCCCTGGACCAGGGGCGGAGGGCCTGAAGCATGGGGCCAGACCACTGGCTCTAATCACAGCACTCTCCCTGGGAGGAGAAGTGGTCATGAAAGAAATCCCCAGGATGTAGCAAATGTCTACAGCAGCGGGAGCGTGGAAGTAGAAGGTAGAGAAGCAATGCTGGTCTAAGGGTGATGCACTTCTTCTAAAGGAACTTCTAGGGTGGAGCTGCCGATGAGACAAATATGAAGGGTGATGATGATGAACTGGGAGACCGTGGCACATTCATCCAGGCCATGCGTGACCCCTGAGTGGCCCTACCATCCTCACTCCCCCAGAACTGCTAGCAAGAACTCCCCTCATGAGAGAACCATACTGGATTGAGGTGATGGCAAAAGGCACAGGCAACTCTGAAAGTTCAGCTTGCCTCCGATTTCTCCTTCAGCCTGAGAGAAGGGAAAGGAGATAAAGGCCCAGATGACACAACAAGGCTGCCAAGCCCAGCAGTTGCTATCAGGGCTCCTGAGCATCAGGCCCAAGAACCATGAACTCAAAGTAGAGTCAAGGTCCCTTCCTCTGGAATGGGAAGCTCAGCCCTGCCCTCCTCTTCAGGAAGAAATGGCTGGAAAAAGAAAGCTGGCTTCTCACTGAGGTAATGTAGAACACCTGCTCAGCTGTGTCAGTCACCCTCAGGTTAAGCAGGAAGAATCCCTGAAGGAGGCATTCTGTGGACGGCTGAGGAGCTCCGCTTACCTGGGACATACCACAAGTTTTAAATTACACATTCCCCCACACGCAGCACACTCACACGGACACACGCACGGGAACCCACACTTCCACAGACTGATGTTCTTCCGAACCACCCCACACCCAGCCCCCAATCCCGCCCCACAGATATCGTTCCCTGTAAACATGACAGCAGAGATGTCCACAATTCTGGGACAGCCTGATAGTGATCTGAGGATGACTCCTTGTCATTAAGTGCCCCGGTACGTGATATTGGTGAAGGTGGATGTGGCCTCTTTGTACAGTGGGTTGTTGGCCTGTGGAGAGAACAGAGAAGCAGTGAATTCCTCACCTCTCCCTTACCCTCAAGGATTACATTTCATCTGAAAAGTCTACCCAAGACACCCTTCTCTGGGATATACCATTGACGAACCACTTAATGCTCATTGTACCCCATATTCACCCTTAAGATGGGAATGGATAGGAAATAAGAGCAGAGAGAAGATGGAAAGCCATCCTACTGCTATTTCTAAGGGGCTGAATCCAGCCCATTATTTTTTGGGGGATCACCAAACATTTCAGGATCTCTTTTTGCCAGTATCGATTTCTTGCCTCTCTCCTGAACACTCTCTTTTGCCCTTCTCCCCATTTTTCCTTCCTTGTGACCATGCTGGGGGAAGTGGGCAGAGACGGGAAATGTAGCAGGTGGTAGCTGAAACCGAGAGGACAGCTTTTGCTCAAAATAATTTTAATTTGTTCTCATCTCATCCCTCCAAGCACTACCCACAAATTATCATGTTAGCAAGAAAAAATAAACCCTCACTGGGTTTCCCAAATTCTTTTCTTTTCTTTTTTTTTTTAAGATTTATTCACTTATTTGGAGGGGGCAGGGGGAGAGAGAGAGAGTCTCAAGCCTCCCCCTGGACATGCATGGAGTTAAACAGCCATTTGGAAGGTCCAGAAAAAAGTTAAAATGTGGAAGATGAACCAAAGAAGAACAGAGTAAAATTAAGTATACAGAAAGTTCTCAGTAGACGATTGTTTCATTTAATTCTCTCAGGATAAACTGCAGGGAGGATATTTTTTTAAGATTTTATTTATTTATTCATTTGACAGAGAGAGAGAGAGTGCACACAAGTGGAGGGAACAGCAGAGGGAGAGGGAAAAGCAGACTCCCTGCTGAGCAGGGAGCCCAACGAGGGGCTCGATCCCAGGACCCTGGGATAATAACTTGAGCTGAAGGCAGACGCCTAACTGACTGAGCCACCCAGGCACCCCAAGGATATTTTTTAAGAGGCTGGCCCAAAAAGTAATTCCTATCATAACTTAATTCCCTCCCATAATCGGGGTTAGCTGCTTAAGCTCACTGTGCTGTTTCCTTACCTATAAAATGGGAAAAATAATGCTGCCTCCTATCTAGGGCTGTTACAGGGATGGAAGAAGTTAATACCTAAAAATCATTTAGAACAGTTCCTAGTATATGGTGAATCCTCAGCAAAAGTTAGCTCTTTTTTTTTAATTTCCTGTTTGTGTTTAATGCTTTGGACTTCATCCGTATATAATGTATTATATGTTCTCAGTGTAGGATTCTCAAGTTTGTCCTATCTTCTTCAACTGGAGAAGTCTCTTTTTCATTGCATCAGTGTCCAGAGCAGAGCTGGGCCCTACCTGTGTTCAGTCAGTACTCACTGACATGACTCATCGTCACTATGTGGTAGAGAGAGAATCGGGTGGTTTCCAGGTATAATAAGGACAATGGGACCTTCTCCTAATTTCCAGAACAGAGGCTAACTGGGAAATTATGGGCTAGCTGAACCTGGCCACTCTATGCATCTGCAGCTTCCACTTGAGGCTCTCAAACCAATGACTTGAGAAAATGCCCAGCCCAGCCTCTTACTGTGTCCCATTTTGCTCTGGCTCTCTCTTCCTCAAATTTAGCAAACTCCTTCCGGTCATGGATGGTGATGAGGAGCTTCCAGATGAGCAGAGTAGCAAGGCCGATGAGCAAAATGGCCCCCATCACTGAAAGCAGGACCACCAGGATGTCAGGACCCTTGGGACACTCTGTCAGGAGAGAGCACAGAGCAGAGAGGTTGTGAATGTAGCAGGAATCACTTAAACTGGCTATGAATAGATCTTCTTGACCAAGAAAGAAATTACTAGAAAGTTCTCTAAAGGAAACAGGACTTAGGAAATACACCAACTAATTTTTTAAAGGAGGGGGTGCCGATCTTTAAGACAGCAGTAATCTGTCCTGAGTGGTTTAAGTCAGAGGTCATAAGCAGGTCACCCCTGGCAGAATTGAACCTATGTAAGTGTTCATTACAAATCTGATTTTATGTTAACTACACTGGAGTTAAAATAAAAACTTAATAAAAAATTTTGATTTTGTTGGCAACATTGAATAATCAGGAGATTCTCCCCCCTGAAATTTCAGATTCTTCTTTTTCTCTTTAGAAAAAAAAAATCAAAAGGTCTGGAAACACTGAACCCACAGGGCAGCCCTGGTGAGATGGGAGGAGCAGCTGTCCCCATTAGATGGGACACATTTTCTAGTTTGCCAGAGTTCTCACCATCCTCTTTTCTCCACTAAACAGAGGCAACAGGTAACATCATTGAGGCCATGCTACCTTGAGCTCTGGAGTTAGCCTGCCTGGGTTCAAATCCTGGCTTACCACTTACTTTGCTATGGGACCTTCGATAAATTATTTCACTTTTGTGGGTGTCTGTTTCCTATTTCTCCATATATTTAAAGAACTCAGAAGACTGCCTGGCACAAACTCAGTGCTCAATAAATATCAGCTACTGTTCTTACTGGCCTTCCTGTTATATATGACTGTTTTCACTAAGTTATGTACCTAGCTCCTGTAGGCATTTGTTACCCTGATTTAGATATGTATATCCCTGAGGGCTGGAAACCTAATGACCTTGTTAGCACACTTAGAGACCAGGAGGCCTGCCAACCAAGAGAATATTTCAGGCTCCTTCCCAAAATATTTCGTCATCTAAAATCTCAACCCTATTGAGAGCTGACTTCCTGTTCAAACCCAGTCAACAACCAACACAGACAGAGGTGCGTCACCCTTCTGAGGGCCAAGCTGAGTGTGCTCCACAGAGCTCTGCTTCCCATAAACCACAGGTGTCTGATGGGTGACCTCACTCCAGTGACTTCTCGGGTGTTATGTAATTAGGTGTTTGGATATATGAATATTGATGGGTCTGGAGAGGAGGTCACACCCACTTTCCACACTGTCTCCCACCTTCTTCTCTAAACATATACTCTGTGCTCACCACACATGACCCAAAAACAACCACCAACACAAACCCAAGCTGGCTTTTTCCCAAGCCACCAAATTATAACCTGTCTGTAATTAAAGAAGCATCTGCAGAGAGGCTCTGAGGTCCCAGTGTCTGAGTTCCCAGGAGTGAAGGGTCCCAGTTCTTCTGGGAAAAACAATTACAAAGCCTCTGGAAGATAGGGCTGACCCTCAAACCTCAGAGTAAAATCTCTTCAATTCTGTATGCCAGTATGGACAGGACAGGTGGAATGTCAAGAGATCTTCAGGGAAAAGCATCTGTTAAGCATTTGTCCTTAAGGGGGTGGATGGCAGGCTTCCTGGAAGCAGAGGACAAGATCAGGTAGTCTCTAGAGAGCTCTCCTAGCCACAGTGATGAGGACCCGTGGTGGGGACCTGAAGTCAAGAAAGATTGGGTGGGGGCGCCTGGGTGGCTCAGTTGGTTAAGCGACTGCCTTCGGCTCAGGTCATGATCCTGGAGTCCCTGGATCAAGTCCCGCATCGGGCTCCCTGCTCAGCAGGGAGTCTGCTTCTCCCTCTGACCCTCCCCCCTCTCATGTGCGCTCTCTCTCTCTCTCTCTCAAATAAATAAATAAAATCTTTAAAAAAAAAAGAAAGTGGTGGGACTAGCAGATTATACAAAAGTATAGGAAGTCCAGTTAAATGTGAATTTCAGATAAACAATGAATAACTTTTTAGCCTAAGTATGTACTAAATATTGCATGGTGTATACTGTATTTTCCAGGAAACCCTATGTGAGAGTGATGAGGACCCAGCTCAGGGGATCCCACTCTGTGCAGGCTGAACACCACCCAGCCAATGCCAAGCCCTTTGGTAGTGCTCTCTCTACTGCCCTGAAATGGTCCAGCCCTTCAGGGAGAGCATCTACAAGGGCAAGAGATAGAGAAGAGAATGAGAATAATCCTCTATACTCCAGGACTTCAAGTGCTACATTCTGCTTGAAGCCAGAGCACCTGAAAATGGTTGGAGGTGGTGGGTGAGAGGAGAGGCAGAACTTGGAATTCCGGGGCAACAAGATATTAAATGTAGGTCTAGGATCCCATTTCCCAACGTAGAGGAAGGGGTCCACAACAGAAAAGTTACCCCCCCTCCCGGGGTTATTTGTACCAGCTCAGGTTATCACCATCTTTATTCCCCACAACTCCAGGTAAGGAGATCCAGTCTAAGAACATCAAGCCAAAAGATTTTGGTAAGTGATATAGCAGAAGCATCAGTAAGGATTATTGCAGCAAAGACATAAAGTAATGTTAAACCCAAAAGCAAGAACATACCACCCTTCTGAAAGGAGAAAGGACAAAGGTACAGATATGGTGGGTGTAGAAAAATCCATGAAATGTGTTAACACGGGTAGATGGGAAAGTGTGGGGGGTCATGGCCAAATAATCCACATCTACTCCTCCACAGATACATATCCAGACTCTTCCCTTTCCCCTTCCCATGTTAGCTTTCCCTTGAGTCAGTAAATAAAATGAAGGCCATACCCTTTCTTTACCACCCTTCTTCCTTCTAAAGGTGAGAGCCCTGCAAGTCTGGTGAACAATATCACAGATGGGGGCGCCACGTTTCCTCTACCCATGGAGCCAACAACACCCTGGCTGACACAGGTGTAGCAGAGCTTCTTCCCCCTTTCGCCCCCTTCCTTCTCCAAGCAGCCCAAGTCCCCCTAGCAGGTACCGAGTGGTATACAAGCCTGCCTGTCTCCTAGGAATAATCAGTCCTATGAATTCACTCAAAAACCACTTATCAAGTATCTTCTCTGTCAATGACTGAGCCAAGTATGGATATAATGATAGATAAGACAGTCCCTGTGTTCACGGAGCTTGTGATCTACTGAGGGGGATGGGTGATGAAAGAAGCAATTTAATGGTGTGATGAAGGCACTTCTAAGGGAAGCACAGCTGCTCGGAGCCCCCAACCGAATCAGCAGCATGGATGCCGGAGGAGGTCTGAGAAGGCTCATTGAGGGAAGTGATGTGTCCAAAACAGAGGCACTCAAATACTGGGGTGTTTCACAATTGCCAGGAGCACTAATCAAGAACACAGAGGCTCATGGAAGTAGGACGGGGCTCAGGACTCTGGGTTCTTTTTAACAAGGGGGAACATACAAAAGTTTGAGACCCACTTTCCTAAAGCAGGGGCCAGCAAACTATGGTCTGGGAGCCAAATGTGGCTTGCCATCTGTTTTTGTAAATATGCTTAGGCTCATGCATTAAATATATGCTGCTTTCCTGTTACAATGGCAGAGGAGTCATGGCAGAGACCACATGGCCCACAAAGCCTAAAATATTTAACATCTGGCCCTTTGCAGAAAGAGTTTGCTGGACCCTGGTCTGAAGAAAGATCTGAAGAAATTCCTACAGCTGTTAAGAATGTCAAGCAACGGGGC